GTAAACGGCAGGAGGATCAAGACTATATCCACTTCAAAGGCACTCGACAAGGAGGTGAAGGACCTAACGAATATCCTGAACAACGCCTTCAAAGAGACTTGTAACCTATTATTCTCGAAGAAGCAATACCCGAGGTGGAAAAGGGAACTAAGAGAGCTCAGAAAGAGCGAGAAAAAGTCCTTAAAAAACAGCTATGTAACCCGGGATTGGGAAACATACAAAAAGAACAAAAAACTTACAAAAAGGCAGTATAAAAGGCCACGAAAGACTTCTGGAAAAAACTACTGCGAGTTATTAGAAGGCATAAAGGACACGGCGAGAGTAAGCAAAATCTCGCCAAGAGGCGAGATCTACCCTGATCAACAGAGCAGACGGTTCTGCTACGGCGACAATTGAGGAGTCGATTGAGGAGTCAATTGAGGAAACCTTAGAGTGAGCTCGGAACCCGAGGGGGGAACGAACGCTCAAATGGACACGCCTACGAAAGACATCATTATCATTGAGCGAATTCAGTGGACAATAGATTCTTTCGATATGTATAAATGCCCGGGCCCAGACAGCTTAATACCGGCAATGCTACAATCAGCCAAGGATAGCATTTGCAAATGGCTAAAAGCCATTTACGAAGCTTGTTTAAGACTGACGCACATCCCACTCCTGTGGAGGGAGGCAAAAGTCATATTTATACCGAAGCCGGGCAGAAGGGGGCACATCCTAGCAAAGGATTACAGACCGATAAGTCTTACCTCCTTCGCCCTGAAGACACTAGAGAGACTCCTGGACGTCCACATCCGGGAGTCTCTAGAGGGACATTAACTCTCGGATGCGCAACATGCGTACCGCAAAGGAAAGTCGACAGAAACAGCACTACACGTAGTTGTACATCATGTTGAGAAGACATTACAACACAAGCAATACACGATGGCCGCCTTCCTAGACATCGAAGGCGCATTCAATAACATAAACCCCGACTCTATCCTGGGCTCCCTGGGCTTCTGGCTCACAAATATGAACGCCATATTGACAGATCTCAATACGGGTGGAGTTAAGGCAATTTCATACGCAGACGACGTAGTACTGCTAGTATCGGGACCATACCATGACGTTATTAGCGAAATAATGACGGGTGCGCTAGGTCGATTAAATAAATGGGCATAAACCTGCGGATTAGGTATCAATCCCACCAAGACAGAACTTATGCTCTTCATACGTAGAACTAAGATACCACCTTTCAACATGCCCAGTATAAACGGCATGGAACTTAAACAAGCAGAGCGAGCAAAGTATCTAGGAATAATTCTGGATAAAAAGTTCTCATGGAAAGAAAACATTGCAGAAAGAGTGAGGAAAGCAAGCATTGCATTTTACTCCTGCAGGAAAATGTTTGAGAACAAATGGGAGTGCACCCAAAGATAATTAAATAGCTCTACACAGCAGTGGTACGGCCATTACTAACATACGTAACCCTAGCATGGTGGCCGGCACTAACTAGGGCTTACAACAAAACGAAGCTGACACGGATACAACAGGCAGCGAGTGCGAGGGCAGTGGGTGCAATGCGCTCATGCCCCGCGGCTGCTCTCAACGCTATCCTGGATATAATGCCGATAGAACTGTTCGTGAAGGGCGCAGTAAGACTGAAGGCAAGCAATTGCTGGAGAGAATACGGCGCCGGGCACGGCAAGATTCTTGGGAGCAGCGACATAAATACAGACGTTAAGACCGACTACATGATCGCGGAGATGAAATTCGGGAACGCATTCTCGACCTCATACCCATCAAGGGAAGACTGGAGTAGGGGCAAAGTAGTAGTGGAGAACGAGGTGTCCCTCTACACCGATGGCTCAAAAATGAGCTGCGGCGTAGGGGCTGGGATTTCGCTGAAAATTGGGGAATTGAAAAGGCTTTCAATCTCTCTAACTCAGCGACGGTCTTAAGGGAAGCAGTCGAACTTTCCTTAAGGCAGGACCTCAGGGGCAACAGAGTTCGAATCTACTCAGATAGCCAAGCGGCTATAAAATCCGTAGTTGCCATGAAAACAAACTCACGACTTGTGGCAGAATGCAAGAACTAGCCGTGCAGGCTCGGCAGAGCTAAGTACAGACTTCGAATTACCGATCTCCCTAAACGCAATCCAGACAAGGATCCATGACAACTTCAAGCAGATAGCTAACAAAGAATGGCTAAGTAAGAACGATCACAGAAGGTCAAGGGAATGTTGGCCGAAGTACGACAAAAAACGAACCAGTGAACTGCTATCCAACAGCAAGCGGGATATTAGCAGGATCACGGCAGTCACCACGGGACATTGGGCGATCGGTTCGCACGCAATGAAGTTGGGACTGCCATACAACCCAATCTGTAGAAGCTGTAAGCAACCTACAGAGCAAGAGACATCGAAACATCTGCTCTGCTTCTGCCCAACACTAAATCACATCAGACTTCGCCACTTTGGTGCCTACCAGATGGAGTCACTGGGAGGTATAGAAAAGCTGAAAGTTTCGGCAATCCTAGGTTTCTACTGATACTGATCACCAACAACACACTGAGGAAGTGGATCGAAAAGGAGCTTATCTCTAATTCGAGGCCCTAGTATCGGGCCTCACCACTGTAACCAACCTTAATTAAAAAATAACTAATAATCTTTAACTTATGTCTTCAGCATTTTTCTTTAATTCAAAGCATTCATTCAAACCTTGGTTTAATGAAAATACCTCCATGAAGCACTTCAAAAGTGGCCACAACCAGGCTGATTCAATTCACAAACCTAGCATTGTACTTGACAGTAAGTTGGCATGGAAAAACAATGTAGTGGAAATGGTGATAAAGGCCACACTAATACACTTGGTCTACATATCGATGGTGCGTTCGACTCTGCTGTAGGACATGTTAGTGTGGTGGCAATCCATGTAAAAAAAAAACATATATTAAACATATGGGAGAACTTAGCAGGCAATTCTCTGCATATCATAAATGCACTCGACTAGTATTATTAGGCAATATGTCGCTACAAGGATTCGGGCACAGTTCAATTGGTCGAGACATGAGCATATGAGACATGACAACATAATACCCAAACCTTCTGAGGATGTCAAAACAACTACATTCACCGTACCGAACAGGTCCTGAGATACGGATATGGTATTAGCTGACAAGGCAATGCAGCACATTCCAGGATAATGTCTTCGCCATCAGGAGAGTAAAATAGCTTCCGCAGAGGCGATCAACTTGTTTTTACAGAGACACTCACAGGCAGACGAAGAAGCCAAAAGCAGGAGGAATTCCACAACTACACAAGGCTACAGTGGAAATTTTCACAGGTCACTGCCTGGCTACGACGAATGCAGTCAGGCTAGGCATCACCGACAATTGCAGAAAAAGCGATGAATCCCAGGCAACAGAAACCTTAAAGTGAAACCTGTAAGTGCCCGTTACGCAGTCAAGAATAAGATACATCGGCTCTCCAGTAGAATTTAATTCCAAGAGGACGCCAGGCGAAATGATTGTTTCACCAAATAAACTTAATACCCTCAAAAGATTCAAAACACCGTAAGCTATATCCAGGTTCATATACAAAACATTTAGGCAACTAAGGGGCAAGTGGCTCTACAAGGGTCATCAGATTCAACTTAACTTAACCTAAGTACAAATTAAAGAAGAAAGGAAGCATAATTCGGCACGCGTAGTTTATATACCCTTGCAGATAGAACTTCGAACAGTAAGGAATTAATACAATTTAAATTATATACAGGGGTAGTCAAAAGTATTTACACAAATTCACAATTATTTTCACCGCCAAACTTATTTTTGTTATTATTCTTGTTTTTGTTAACCGATTTCCATAAAATTTTTTAATTGCATAAATTAATTTATTTAGAAACAACCAGAAAACGAAAACAAAAGATAACGGCTCATAGGACAAAATATGTCTATTTATTTTGCATATAGCTTAATAAACTTAATTCCAACCAATTGAAAGCCTTCATCAATACCAAAGCAAATTTTTGTAACTATTAATAAAGTAACTTATGAGATTGTCTCAAAAAAAATAATGATTTAATTTTAATAGCATTAAAATTAAGATGAAAACAAATTATGTGTAAATATTACACTGTAGGTGCATCTATTCTTTTACTTAGATAGATCAATCTACGCAATAAAGAAATTTTAGGGAAACGGTCAACAACAACAAGAATAAGAACTAAAATAAATTTGGCTATGAAAATAGTCGAAGTGTAAATACTTTGACTACCTTTGTATATTTATGTAAAAAAAAACTATGAAGCATGGCCTGCTTTCATTTCATGCACTTATACATATTATATTTACAGCTTTACATTCAGTCTTGCATTTTCCTCTATACCTAACGATCGTTTTTATGGCAGCTATATGATATAGTCGTCCGATTTTCATAAACTAACATAAAAATTCTAGAATAATAAAATAGGGATACATGTATCTCAAATTTGATGAAAATCTATTGAGTATGTATTGAGTAATAATTTTTAATTGCATTAATTTCTCGATCATTCCTATACCCGCTTTATTATATAGTAGTCCGATTTTCATAAAATTTTTCACAATATTGTGGAATAATATAAAATAACTATATCTCAGATTTTATGAAAATCTGTTGAAAACTTAAAACGTTAGTATTTTTAAGTGTATTAATTTCTCGATCGTTCCTTCTAGATCGACTCATCTGTTGATGCTGATCCAGAATATATATACTTTATATGGAAAGAGTTGACTTTTTCACAGCGTTGCAAACTTCTGGCTGAAATTATAATACCCTGGCAGGGTATAAAATAAAATTATTTGTATGCGAAAAATGAGAGAAATAAAGCATTTAAGTTCTACTGATCTCAGTGTACTCTGAACAAATAGAAACGACAAATACAAAAAAATATTTTTCCCGAAGCCACTTTAGTGCCTTTTTTGAATTACTTTTAAGTTATTAAAACAAAATACGTTATATATGGTACGACTGATATACAAACTTATTGCAAGGTAATACGCAAATGCCGCAACACTTCTCCATTCCGCTTAAATTTTTTTCAGCTTCTCTCATGTCTGCGTTAATTTGATCCATGCCTTCCTCGATACGGTCCAATTGCTCTAAAAGAAGAGTTTGAGTTTGTTAAACAACATAATATATATATGAACACATTATGTAATTTATAGTAATACTTCACGAAAACGTTCGTGCAGTAAATCAAGTGTGTCAGACAGTAATATTTTTGACATATCTATATGTATGTATATATAATAGAAACATCTACCCTTGCAGATAGAACTTCGATCACTATGAAATAATAAATATAAATTATATATATTAAAAGCAATAAAGTAACACCTGCCTTCATTTTATTCACCTCTACTTATTAAATTTATACATACAGTTTTACATTCACAGTTTTGCATTTTCCTCAACATCTAACGATCATTTGTACGGGAGCTTTATGAAATAGTCATCCGATGTTTATAAAATCAAAATTTAAATTCCTGAATAATATAAAAGGCCTGTATATCAACTTTGATGAAAATCTTTTGAAAACTGACAAAGCTATAATTTTTAGTTGTTTTAATTTCTTTGTCGTTCCTATGGCAACTATATGATACAGAGGTCAGATTTCCATAAAATTAAAAAAAATTGTAGATTAAGACTATATATCAAGTTTGATGCAAATCTAGTGAAAACTGAAAAAGTTATGAACTTTTATTGTATTAATTTCTCGATCCTTCCTATGGCAGCTAATGACACAGAGGACAGATATCCATCAAATTAGAAAAAAGTTGAATAAGATAGAATTGCTTTGATGAAAATCTGTTGAAAACTGCAAAAGTTATAAACTTTAAGTGTATTAATTTCTCGAACGTTCCTATGGCAGCTATATGATACAGTCAGGTTTCCAAAAAATTCAAAAGAAAAGAAATTGTAGATTAAGGCATAATGATTATATCTCAAATTTGATGCAAATCTGATTAAAACTAAAAAAGTAATAATTTTAATTGTATTAAATAAATAATTTGATGAAAATCTGTTAAAACTGAAAAAGTTATAATATTTAATTGTGTTAATTTCTCGATTGTTCCTATGGCAGCTATATGATACAGTCGTCAGATTTCCAAAAATTAAAAAAAAAATGTAGAATACAATAGAATGGCTATATCTTAGATTGATGAAAATCTGATGAAATCTGCAAAAGTTATAAGCTTTAATTTTATTAATTTCTTGAACGTTCCTATGGCAGCTATATAATACAGTCGTCAGATTTCCATAAAATTAAAAAGAAAAAAATGTGTAGATTAAGACGGAATGGCTATATCTCAAATATAATGAAAATCTGGTAAAAACTAAAGAAGTTATAATTTTTAAATGTATTAATTAAATACATTGATGAAAATTGGTTGAAAACTGCAAAAGTTATAAAAAAGCTTTAATTGTATTAATTTCTCGATCGTTCCTATAGCAGCTATATGATACAGTCGACAGATTTCCATAAAATTAAAAAAGATTTAGAATAAGATAGAATGGCTTTATCTCAAATTTGATGAAAATCTGTTGAAAACTGCAAAAATTATAAAAAAGCTTTAATTGTTTAATTTCTCGATCGTTCCTATGGCAGCTATATGATACAAACGTCAGATTTCCACAAAATAAAAAAAAAATTGAATATTAAAACAGAATGGCTCCATCTCAAATTTAATGAAAATGTGGTAAAAACAAAAGAAGATATAATTTTTAAATGTATTAATTAAATACATTGATGAAAATTGGTTGAAAACTGAAAAAGTTATAATATTAAATTGTATTAATTTCTCGATCGTTCCTATGGCAGCTATATGATACATACGTCAGATTTCCATAAAATTAATAAGAAAAAAATGTGTAGATTATGACGGAATGGCTATATCTCAAATATGATGAAAATCTGGTAAAAACTAAAGAAGTTATAATTTTTAAATGTATTAATTAAATACATTGATGAAAATTGGTTGAAAACTGCAAAAGTTATAAAAAAGCTTTAATTGTATTAATTTCTCGATCGTTCCTATGGCAGCTATATGATACAGTCGACAGATTTCCATAAAATTAAAAAAGATTTAGAATAAGATAGAATGGCTTTATCTCAAATTTGATGAAAATCTGTTGAAAACTGCAAAAATTATAAAAAAGCTAATATTGTTTTAATTCTCGATCGTTCCTATGGCAGCTATATGATACAAACGTCAGATTTCCACAAAATAAAAAAAAATTGAAGATTAAAACAGAATGGCTACATCTCAAATTTGATGAAAATGTGGTAAAAACAAAAGAAGATATAATTTTAAATGTATTAATTAAATACATTGATGAAAATTGGTTGAAAACTGAAAAATTTATAATATTTAATTGTATTAATATCTCGATCGTTCCTATGGCAGCTATATAGTACATACGTCAGATTTCCATAAAATTAAAAAGAAAAAAATATGTAGATTAAGACGGAATGGCTATATCTCAAATATGATGAAAATCTGGTAAAAACTAAAGAAGTTATAATTTTTAAATGTATTAATTAAATATATTGATGAAAATTGGTTGAAAACTGCAAAAGTTATAAAAAGCTTTAATTGTATTAATTTCTCGATCGTTCCTATGGCAGCTATATGATACAGTCGACAGATTTCCATAAAATTAAAAAAGATTTAGAATAAGATAGAATGGCTTTATCTCAAATTTGATGAAAATCTGTTGAAAACTGCAAAAGTTATAAAAAAGCTTTAATTGTTTTAATTTCTCGATCGTTCCTATGGCAGCTATATGATAAAACGTCAGATTTCCACAAAATAAAAAAAAATTGAAGATTAAAACAGAATGGCTACATCTCAACTTTGATGAAAATGTGGTAAAAACAAAAGAAGATATAATTTTTAAATGTATTAATTAAATACATTGTTGAAAATTGGTTGAAAACTGAAAAAGTTATAATATTTAATTGTATTAATATCTCGATCGTTCCTATGGCAGCTATATGATACATACGTCAGATTTCCATAAAATTAAAAAGAAAAAAATGTGTAGATTAAGACGGAATGGCTATATCTCAAATATGATGAAAATCTGGTAAAAACTAAAGAAGTTATAATTTTTAAATGTATTAATTAAATACATTGATGAAAATTGGTTGAAAACTGCAAAAGTTATAAAAAAGCTTTAATTGTATTAATTTCTCTATCGTTCCATGGCAGCTATATGATACAGTCGACAGATTTCCATAAAATTAAAAAAGATTTAGAATAAGATAGAATGGCTTTATCTCAAATTTGATGAAAATCTGTTGAAAACTGCAAAAGTTATAAAAAAGCTTTAATTGTTTTAATTTCTCGATCGTTCCTATGGCAGCTATATGATACAAACGTCAGATTTCCACAAAATAAAAAAAAATTGAAGATTAAAACAGAATGGCTACATCTCAACTTTGATGAAAATGTGGTAAAAACAAAAGAAGATATAATTTTTAAATGTATTAATTAAATACATTGTTGAAAATTGGTTGAAAACTGAAAAAGTTATAATATTTAATTGTATTAATATCTCGATCGTTCCTATGGCAGCTATATGATACATACGTCAGATTTCCATAAAATTAAAAAGAAAAAAATGTGTAGATGGCTATATCTCAAATATGATGAAAATCTGGTAAAAACTAAAGAAGTTATAATTTTTAAATGTATTAATTAAATACATTGATGAAAATTGGTTGAAAACTGCAAAAGTTATAAAAAAGCTTTAATTGTATTAATTTCTCTATCGTTCCATGGCAGCTATATGATACAGTCGACAGATTTCCATAAAATTAAAAAAGATTTAGAATAAGATAGAATGGCTTTATCTCAAATTTGATGAAAATCTGTTGAAAACTGCAAAAGTTATAAAAAAGCTTTAATTGTTTTAATTTCTCGATCGTTCCTATGGCAGCTATATGATACAAACGTCAGATTTCCACAAAATAAAAAAAATTGAAGATTAAAACAGAATGGCTACATCTCAAATTTGATGAAAATGTGGTAAAAACAAAAGAAGATATAATTTTAAATGTATTAATTAAATACATTAATTAAAATTGGTTGAAAACTGAAAAAGTTATAATATTTAATTGTATTAATTTCTCAATCGTTCCTATGGCAGCTATATGATACAGACGTGAGATTTCCATAAAATTAAAAAAAATGTAGAATAAGATAGAATGGCTATATCTCAACTTGATGAAAATCTGTTGAAAACTGCAAAAGTTATAATATTTAATTGTATTAATTTCTCGATCGTTCTATGGCAGCTATATGATACATACGTCAGATTTCCATAAAATTAAAAAGAAAAAAATGTGTAGATTAAGACGGAATGGCTATATCTCAAATATGATGAAAATCTGGTAAAAACTAAAGAAGTTATAATTTTTAAATGTATTAATTAAATACATTGATGAAAATTGGTTGAAAACTGCAAAAGTTATAAAAAAGCTTTAATTGTATTAATTTCTCGATCGTTCCTATGGCAGCTATATGATACAGTCGACAGATTTCCATAAAATTAAAAAAGATTTAGAATAAGATAGAATGGCTTTATCTCAAATTTGATGAAAATCTGTTGAAAACTGCAAAAATTATAAAAAAGCTTTAATTGTTTTAATTTCTCGATCGTTCCTATGGCAGCTATATGATACAAACGTCAGATTTCCACAAAAAAAAAAAAAAATTGAAGATTAAAACAGAATGGCTACATCTCAAATTTGATGAAAATGTGGTAAAAACAAAATAAGATATAATTTTTAAATGTATTAATTAAATACATTGATGAAAATTGGTTGAAAACTGAAAAATTTATAATATTTAATTGTATTAATATCTCGATCGTTCCTATGGCAGCTATATAGTACATACGTCAGATTTCCATAAAATTAAAAGAAAAAATATGTAGATTAAGACGGAATGGCTATATCTCAAATATGATGAAAATCTGGTAAAAACTAAAGAAGTTATAATTTTTAAATGTATTAATTAAATATATTGATGAAAATTGGTTGAAAACTGCAAAAGTTATAAAAAAGCTTTAATTGTATTAATTTCTCGAACGTTCCTATGGCAGCT